TTACAAAAGGCAATCACTTGCACTTAAGAGAAAACGGGCCGATTTATTTTATGATATTCAAATTAAGAAAGTGTTTTTTTAAATCTTTTATATGTAAAAGACGGATTTCTCATATATGAAAGTAAATCTTTTATATATATATAAAAATAAGTTTGTAATGAACCAAAAAATTATTTGACCCATGCACTTGACACAGACGACACATATAATGGGGAGAAATTCAAAACGTCAAATTTACAAGTGGTCATTCAAAAATAGTTATAGTTTCAAAAGTAATCGAAATTTAGCCACTTTTCATGTAAAGATAAAATCTGAACGAAAACACTGTTCAAAATCCAAAAAATACTCCAGCATAATATACTCGAGTTCCAGCATAAGTATACTTAAGGGTGTCTAACGGGCTGGGTTTAACCGTACCGGCCCAGACCGGTTAAAACCGGAACCGGCCTAGACCGATACAAAGGGGGTCGGGTGGGCTAGGTTAATAGGGTAAGGGGGGTTGGTCCGTTTACATTGGGGCTACCGGTTAACCGAACCAGTCAAACCCGATCAACGATTTTTACTGTACAACCGGTTAACCGGCCCGGACCGGCACTGCCCAGACCGGTGTAACAACTATTTAATTTATTTATTTTATTTTTTTTAATAATGGGGCCTTTAAATTTACTCTTTTTTCGTTAATTTACTTGTTGTTAAATGTAAACCTTTCGATTTGTAAGTTTGAATTTTGAAATAAATGTAGCACTTGCAATTTATAAGTGCAATTTTTCCCCGTCTTCATTGTATTCTTTATATTTTTATTTTATATTAATATAACTTACAATAATTATACAAAAATAAAATAAAAATTACACTAACCCAACCTCTTGTACCCGTAACGCTTACGATTTATTTTTTACCCGGATGAACCCGAACCCGTTAAATCCGGTAAGCCCCAACCCGTAACCGGCCCAGAATCCAACCCGTACGGTTCCAAATTTTGCCTACTCAATCCGGCCCGGCCCACCTGTTAGACACCCTTAAGTATATTGGAACTCCAGCATATTATAATGGAGTTCCAGCATATTGTACTGGAGTTCCGGTATAATATACTAGTCCAATATAATATACTGGAAGTTCATACACAAGTGCCTCTCGGGGTAGGGGTAAGGTCTGCGTACATACTACCCTCCCCAGACCTCACTTGTGGGATTATACTGGGATGTTGTTGTTGTTGCATACACAAGTGCTCCAATCTCTAGTATATTATGCTGGAACTTTCCGCGTGTTGGAGTTCCAGCATAATATGCTGGAAGTTCATACACAGGTGCATCAATCTCCAGTATATTGTGCTGGATCGGTCCCTATTATATTAAAATAGTGACTATTTTTCATTGACTTTGCAAACGCTAGCTACTTTTGAATGGACAGTTTTCAGCTATTTTACCTATATAATGTGCACCTTTGAAGGAAAGAAATGTCTACTCGGACAAATATCCTTCCAATAGAACCATGAGTTTTAAAATCAAGAAACTTTTGAATAACATGATGAAATCACATGTTTTGACGAGCCTATAATCAAATTAAAACACAAAATGACACTACAACACAAAAAGAGAGAAAAAATAGCACATGGCTCTTTGCAATTACTGCTGATTTAACGGAATTATGAGTTGTAACAACAGCCTTTTCATTTGCTATCGAATTTAATTTATTTAACCTTAATATGTACAATAATTGTTACCTTTAACTTCCAAATATACTAATATTGTATGCCCTCCAGAAGTGCAATGTGAACAGCGTACCTCAATTAGAAATGATAAACATGGGCATATCATGAAGTTGGACGATCTTGCGAATGTAAATCTCCAACCGCTCTAAAAAATAGGTAATTGCCACAGGAATAAAATATTATTGTCCATCCAACCGCTTAAGTTAAATATATATATATAATTTATATATAATCAGTATATAATCTATGTATACTGACTAAAAAAAGTAAATAATGAATCCGGCCGGCTATTTGTTTAAAGATTCCAAAATAAACTTGGTATGCTCGTGCTTGAACATGACCCGAGTTCTTTAATGAGAAAATTTCACTTTATACCCATTAATTCTAAACTATTTACCCTTTAATGCCCAGGCCCAAACTATTTACTACTCCTACCTATGTTGCCCAAACTATTTACCCGGTTATTTCCCAATAATCTTACGTCTGTTTGCGACTGGTGGCTTTGGAAGTTCATCAACTCCTCGAACTGGCATGAGTGACTCATTCGGGTTATGCTAATTGATTAACAAAGAGAATTCTGAATCTCCTCCTGTGGAGATTATTACTCTCAAATCCTATTTTGACTATTGAATACCCTATTAGCTAATAAACATAGACACTTGATATTTTGACTATTGAATACCTTTTTCTTTCTCTTCATCCAAATTGGTTTTTGGAGATTTATTGTACAAAAATTCAAATCCACACCTTGAAGCTTGAAACTCATAACTTGGTTTGTTTGAGTTTTTAATTATTTTGATTCGATACTATATGAGTTTGTTTGGAAAATTGATTGGAGGTTGTAGCTAAAGTTTTAGTCATTTTGGTGGAGATTTTATAGTAGATTTTAGAAGTTTGGGTTGAAATATAGTTGAACAAGAGAAGAAGACGAATTTGTATTATATACTCAAATAGTATACAAATATACCATTTTGGTATACAATTCATTCCAATTATATACCCTATTAATATAGCTATATACTATATTGGTATCATATGCTAGTTGAATTATTTTTTGATTGTATTAGCTGCATTTATTAGTACAATATTTGATTTTCTTTTAATACTAGTAATATAGTATAATATCTTGAAATACTTTATTATATTAACATGTGGTACACTAGTTTTTTATTTTTCTCTTTATGCATGTGTGTTATGTCATAGTAGTATAGTCATATAGTTGCGGGGAATTAAACAGTAAAACTGTATACCATGTTGGTATAATTATATGTCATATTGGTATCATATGGTAGTTTGAACATTTTTTTGGTTGTTTTGGCTGTATTTTTAAGTGAATTCTATTCTGAAATTATTTATATGAATGTAATTGCAGTGCTGGAATTTTTGTGTGCTGATGGATATAGATTATGTGTATTATGTAATAGTTTTTATAATTATAGGCAATTGTTGGAACAACCCATACAACTATATACCCTTTTAGTATATGGAATGAGCAAATTGCTTTGCGAATATTTAGCTTGCAATGCGAGCATGTAATTTTCTCATACTTTTATTGTATCATTTAATGTTTTGGTACAATAGTATAGTCACTGATAGTTGTAGCAATATACTAGAGCAATCATATACTCTGTTGGTATATATGTATACCATATTGGTATCATATGGTACTAGAAGTCTTTTTTGCTACTTATATTTTTATTGCATTTTTCAATATTTTATTATCATTTCTATTCTAACTAGTATATATAGAGATTTAGTGGCCGTAGATTATGTTTTCTTGCTCCATCATTGGTTGATGTTACTGCTAATGGTAGAGTATGTACTGATATTTGTAGGGAAGGAGATCAAGGTTAGCATGACAATCACGTGGAATTAGAAAAGGAACAAGAAATAAAGAAAAAAAAATAAAGAAGGAGTCAAATTGGAGTGTGAAATAAGTTATGGTAAAAATAAAAATAATACGATTTGGGCAAAAATAAATGAATAAAAGAGGAAAAATAAAAAAATAGGAAGAAAATGAGAAAAAAGAAAAGGAGAAAAAGAAAGAAAAAAAGGGGGAAAAAGAAGCATAATAAAGAAAAAATTCTCCATAAAAACTAATATGGGTAGAAAAATAAAGGAAGTTTTACCTCATATAGCAAAGGTTGATACCTTATTTATTTTAAATAAATATCTTTTTAAAAAATTATATTCCATAGCTACCTTTTTTATTTTTATAGCCAAATATCTATTTATGATTACCTCCTACCCTTAAGCCATAAATACTCTTTGTATTATTTTTCTTTCTCATTCTTTCAGATTTTTGCTGCTTTCTTCTCCTCTTTTTCTTCCTTGTTATTTCCTTGTACACCACCAAAAACCTATAAGCTTTCTCGTTCTTCTTGATTTCTACTTTCAGAAAATCAGAAAAAGCCCCAAATTCAAAAAATGACATCTTTCGCATAGGCACCACCGGGGAACGAAGCAGCAGGGGCAAAGATCTTCAAGACCAACTATGCTCCAAATTTTGAGAGTTTCGAGTCAGAATCGCGGCCTTCTTAACGAGATGATATTAGGGTTGTTTTGCTCGACGGCGGATTCGCCGAAAATTAGAGTTTGTTCTTGAACAAAGACGACAGAGTTTGGGGCTGAGCAACTTGATTCTTTGTTAATATATTTCAATGTATTTTCAACGTAGCACGCTGTATTTTCATGTATTTCATTATATTTATTGTCTTTTTTTTCATTGTAATTCAATGTATCTCGCTGTATTCCATGTATTTTATTGTATTCACTATCTTTTTTCATTGTAATTTTATGTATTTCATTGTATTCAATGTCTCGCTATATGCCATGAATGTATTCATATGTTTTTTTAATTAATATAATTTATGTATTCAGATGTATTATATAATTTTTGTGAAGATTGCTATGTTTTTGGGGTATTTTTCATTTGAGAATCTTTTTTATAACTGAAAATATAAAATTTGTGTGTTATAATTGAGTTTGTTGAGTTATATTAGGAGTCTATTATGTTAATACATCTAATACATCTTATAACAACAGAAAACATATCTACAATCCGTAATATAGTTAATGATATCTATAGATAGCTAATTACCATTAAAAGATAGTGTTTTATAAAAAAAATTCAAAAATAAATGGGTAGAAAAAGATAAATAGTTTTGTTTTTGCGAGTAAACAAAACTATTAAACCCGGGTCATCTATTAAACCCGTTCTTTAATAGATGACCCGAGTTCACATGTTGCGGGTTCGTATATAAACATCGCAACGGTTTGGAAAGCACTTCCCCCCCTCCTCCGCCTGTAAATTGAATGAATGCAGAAAGGGTGGAACTTCATCAAAGTCATTCATAGAAGCTTCTTCACTCCCATTTCTCAGGTAACTAACTCTCTTTCTCTGCCCTTATCATTGATATACAACTTATGGTGACATTGTGTAAGTGTTCATTCACGTGTAGATGGATCACTCCACGCGTTACCGTTACGGCCCAACCTTGAAGTGGAACCCCATGGTTGAAGAATACTTCATCAAAGCTTACGGAGCTGATCATTTTTCTCGTATTTCTGCTGCCCTCGTGTATGCTATTTGCCTCATCTACCTTCCATTTCAGCTTTACATATGCCTATAACCAATTTACCATCTGTCGCTTGAGTTGATAAGAAGTTCTTACATTTGACGAAATAGAGTTGAGCCGTGGAGTTCAATCTCTGTCAAAACTGGCTTCCGAGTGTTATGATTTTTTATGGTTTCTTCTTGTTTCCAGAGTCAGCTCAATGGCAAGGTCATTGAAGCCATCACGTTAGGCCCCCCCAAGATTGAAGGCGCTAAAAGTACTACGTATTATTATACATAACATAGAATTTATTTAATTATCATTAGTAAAAATTTCTAAAGTTTATGTTTCTTTCAAAGTTGATTGAGGTTGTTCAGATGATGTGAATTACAATAAATTTTCTTCTTAAAACCTTTGTCTCCATCTTGCCTATTTCTCTTGTCTCGTTTGATTGACCCCATAGATCAAGAAGCCCTTTTGTCTCATTAGTACATGAACTTTATGAAATAAGTATAAGGCCTCTTAATATGGTTTGACTTTAGGCTACCAATTCCGTGGAGGCGCCCCTGCATGTTTCCAACTGTGTGTCTCAACCTGTTTCTTTGCTTTGTTAGTGATATTTGAATGCTTGAACTCTAGCCCAAAAAGCTTTACTTATATTTCCCTTTCATGTAGATGTTTCTTTCTAATATTCAAATTCTAATGCTTTTCTTAGGCGCCCATCATGTTACTCTTGTATCCGTGTGAATACACTCAAATCAACAAATGATGCTGTTATAGAGAAGCTTTTGGAAATTTTTAAGGAAAGAGGAATGCCTGATGTCGTAGTTCAAGAATCTGCTACCACATGGAAGCCAGATAATTGTTGCAAGACAACCCTAGAGAGCATTGGAAGTGCAGAGTCTTCTAAGGCCATCAAAAGTATCTCAAAGTGTCAATTTCCTGGCCTGGATTATGTAGTTTTTGTTAAAGGTTCAGGACCACATGCTATTCATTATGGGTACAACGAAGGCAAGCCTCTTAAGGAGGTAATTGTGAGCCGGAAGTGTGCAGAGGCAGTTCTTCGTGGTGCCCAAGTGAGTGAGTTTTTCAGCACTAATATAAACTCGATCAGCTATAGGAATTAGTGAATTGGAGAGGTCCATTGTTTTCTCCCGATTCAACGTGGATAATAGTTATATTTCAACCTGTAGATGGAAGGATGAAAAAATGCTAAAACAAGATGGGATTTTCTAACTTTTACCAAGTGATTTGTTGTGTGTTTATGTTATCTAGATTGCAGCTTAGCTACGCAGCATGCAAATACATGATGTTGTGGCCGGTATATGAGAGTGTCTGAGAGTTGTACATCCTTACCTAATATCTTGTCTATTATGTTAAAACACTTACTGTCCCGACAACATTCTTGCCTTTGCTTTCAACAACATTGCAGCCTAAAATCTAAATCTTGCGCTAATAAGACAAAGAAATGGACAGTCTATGGCTTGAATGTATCAGTAACAGCAGATTAGTGGATGAGGGATCAAGAGCGGATAGGGAGGGAATGGCCTATCAACCACTGGTTGACCTTCCGCTAAACCAGTCACGGAACTCTCAACTGAGTTGTTTTGGTTCTGGAATTGAATCTCTAGTTTCATTTGGAAGTATTTTCATGAAGTATATTGGAAAAGAACTTGTCGAAAAAAAGAAGGAAAAAATCAAAATAGAAGACGGAAGTGTGCTGTTGTATAAACTGCAAGTCTTCTAACAATTAAGGTCATGCAATCATGTGATTATCATATTCAGTTATTTATTCTTCTCTTCTTTCTTTTCTTAATTTATCCTGGTTTATTCAGGGGTGCAAATTTGGACTGGTACTTCGAATAGTAACTTGACCAATCTTCTCCATCTATCCACTGGTTTAAGATGAATCTATGTAAATAAATGACACCTTGATCTTCAATATCACTTGATGTTATGCATTTTAGTTTTCCACCTATAGGGGCACAATCATATGGACAGGAGACACATGTCCCTACAAGGCTGCAATGTTACAAAAACAATGGCATGGGAACACCAGAAGATCTTACTTCTTTAATTTGCTAGAATTTTTTCGTAAACAGTGCACGTACTTTAATTAAATTATAGATTAATCTTATCACTTACTTATCATGCAACCAGGTTTATGTGCCTGGTGTTTTGGCATGCAGTGCTCATGTCGAAAGAGGTGATGCAGTTGCAGTTTCAGTTGCTGTGGAACAGTCTGGTCCGGATGGTGGATGGGGTATTGCAATGACACGTGGAACTGTTCTACAAGGATCACAAGCAGGTAAACTAACTTCATTCTCAAAAAAAAAAAAGGGCAGGTAAACTGAACTTCTCCTTTTGCACCTTTTCACATCTAATCAGTGTTCTTTCTTAATTTTTAAACTGATTTAACCCCAATGGCATTAATGTGTTTTCTTTATGAAAACGCTTGCTGAGGAGCTTATTATTTCTTTGCATAATCTTGACATGTGCGAGTAACTGCAGTAAACATTTTGGTCATGCTTCTGGCTTTTCCCCATTTTCACTTTTTGCCCAAATATGAAGGGGCATCAGTAGTTGCTGACTGTATGGGTTACACCTGCCTCAACTAGTAGTTATAGTTGGGGGTACGCCAGTTGGTTTCAACTTATGTGATCATGATCAAGTGGGATTAAATTAGATCATGTAAGTTACGAAAATTTCTGATAGTGTTGATTTGTATTATCTGATTATGATCATATGGGATCAAATCAGATCAGATAAGTTAGGAAAGTTTCAGATTCTTAGGGATTGGTTTTAGATTAGAATTCTAGACTATTTAGAATCAATGGATTATTTTCCTTTTCATTGATTTGTTTTTCTAGTAAATTGTATTCTCTTTGAATGAATAAAACATACTACTCCGATACCAAAACTTTCAGTTTCATTTGCTGGGTTGACGGTATGTGCTTAATGCGCATAATCAGATATTTATTTCTCAATGAACGAGAAATTCCTTAATATGATAGTCAATTTGACTCCTTATTTTGGTGAATTTCTTACAAAAGGAAAAGCTAATTATGCAGTAAGATATTTCGTAATTTATCTTGAACCTTTGGCTTCATTTCACACTGTTGTGCTCCTCTGAAAGGATTTTAATGTTTATCAGAAATTCCTCCTTATCACATGGCTATGGTGGGATATACTGCATTCGCATGGTTAAATACCAAGATGATTTTGCATCTAATCTGAATTTTTGGATACACGTTTGCTATGGTCTTTTTTCTTTATTTTGTTACCAATAGAAAGTGTGCTATGGTCTTTCTTAAATATACACTAAATCTGCTTGGTTTGTCGAAATGTTCTCTCTCTCCCTCACACACACACACCCCTACCCACACCCACACCCACACGACACACACAATCAGCTTTGCTGTATATAAATCTATTTCATCTTATTGCTTAGTTGTGTGACATCCTTCCAGCCAATAGACTGACCATTCTCAATTTTGTGTAGATCCTTATTATTTTGAAAGAGATGGTTTCTACATTGGCCAAGGAACAGCAATGATGTCAAGAGCTGGGATATTTCGTGCATCTGAAGGAATTGCAGTGGATATGAAGGAGAGAGTATTTAGACTACCCTCCTTTTATGGTACAAGTTTTTCGCCTTCTCCAGTATTATGGAAATCAGTTACAGGATAATATGTGCATAACAGTTTTAAGGACACTTGGTTTATCGCACTTGTCAATGTTGTTACCATCTAGTTTTAAAGGTAATTAATTCTAGTCTGACGAAGATGTGTTTGCCTTTTTTCTTTGGGTAACTGTGTTAGTTTTGTTTCCCGTTTCTCATACAAGTCAGGAATTACTGTGGCACATTTATACTATTAGCTGGTATTTTAATTCTAAAGTCATGGTTCTGAAATCTTGAACTTGAAGTGAGGATATTTAACATACTCAAGTTCACAATGGCGAAAGTGATGTAAGATGTCTGTGAGAATTGGAAGTGTGGTACTCCCTCTGTAACAATTTATGTGGCACTCTTTCCTTTTTAGCTTGTCCAAAAAGAATGTCACCTTTCTATGTTTAGAAACAATTTTACTTTAAAATTACCCTTTCACCCTTAATGAGATGATTTATAGCCACAAATATGTCTAGGGCTTGTTTTAGACTACAAGTCTCCAAAATTTTCCTTTTTTTTTTCTTAAAATCCGTACCGAGTCAAATGGTGCCGCATAAATTGGGACGGAGGGAGTATACTAGTATGACCTTTGTTTAAGCATTTAGTGCATATATTTTAGAGTGTCATAACAGTTGATGCATCTCCTTTGTAATGATTAATTAGATCTCATCCATATATCAAGAAGAGTGAAAAAGGCAATTTTATCTTGGTGTTATTTTTAATAATCTTGCGTTAGAAAGCTTTAGTTTTTCGACTTTCTATATTTTAGCTTCAGAATCTTACGAAATTTGCTGGTCATCTTGGAAGGCAAATTAAGACCAATTTCGTGGTTAGACCAGGATAAATTCTACATGAATGATATTTTTCCATTAGAGACCTTTCCGAGCTCTCTCTAAATATGTCCGTCTCTAATTATGTCCGTCATGATAGTCAGTTGCCTATTCATTTTCCTGAGAATGGTCAAGGGGGAAAATGGGTCCCATATTGGTTGACGAAAAATAGTGTACATAATGATTTCTGGTCACTTTCACTAGACAGTATAAGTTTCCAATGCTAGATAGAGACGTTAAAGGCTTTGGTCACTGTAAGAAGGTAATGCTCTTTTTGAGGGATGCCAAATTTGCAAATATTCAGCACAGTTGGTTAGAATCTGACAGTATTGCAGTATTACTATCTTGCTGAAGATAGCGCTTGGGTAGATGCTACTGTCACTTTGTTTGGTGAAAAGAAAATGACACTTTTAGTAGTCTAGAGCTGTCAGGGGTGCAGAAGTATGGGAAAGTCCATTCAGTTAAACTTTTATTGTTATCGGTGTCCTCAGTTGTTCTTCTTCCTCTGATCTTTAAAGGTATTCTTATTTATGACGAAGGAAACACTTTGTACAATTGTCATCTCCATAAGTGAATTTTCATCGTTGTCTATTGTTTTTGACACCATATTTTCTGTATATGAAAGAAACAACTAACATGAAACATTGTGAACATGAATATACTCCTATGGTTTTGGATTGTGTTCGAATAGCAGCTTCTTTTAAAGTTGTGAGTACATGCAGTGATGTTTGATTATAATATCTTGCTTCCAGATTTGCTTGAGGGTGAGATTTTTCTTCAGAACCTGCCAAGCATAATAACTGCACATGCCTTAGGTATGTTCATAGTTTCTCAGGCATTCTCTGTTTTTGTCTAACGTTGAGTCGGTATCATTACAGAATATTACATGAATTGCCTTTTGTTTCATTTATGGTGTAAATAAGGCTTTGTAGAGGAGGCAGAATCTTTAGTAGATTTTATAGGTGCTCTGTACCTTTAGGTTAACATAGCTGGGGTCTGCTCCTTTTTAAATATAGCTTGGCACTGCTTTTGTGCTGTTTTTTTGGTCTTATTAATATATGTACAAGTTGCTATTCTCAAAAAAAGAGTCTGTATCATTACATTATATGCACAGTAGAGATTCTTACGGTAACTCATGGTTTTTGACCCTTTGACTTGGTCCTTATATGCTGCGAGTTTTAAAGTATTCATATTGTAATAACAATGAGTTTACAGCAGTTTTAAGTGCTAGTTTGAATTTGAAGGGGTATGGTAGATAATTAATTTGGTCGATCATTACGCTTTAAGATCAAAAGATGTAGTAATTGTTAAGTGATTAATTGGATTATGCTGTTTCCGTTTTGCTCTGGAAGATGAACACTGGCATTAATTTCTTGGAATGAGACATTATCCTCTGAAAGTATAGGACAACAAAATGAAGAAGTCTTCCTACAATTTATATCTTTTAACAGCTGATCCATGGTGATGCTGCATCGGTTTATCTCCTTGATTAAAAGCTTATCTTTCTTTGGTTTTGAAATCTGTAGTCAAGCTTCACCATCCCTTGTATTAAGTTATTAATGCTTTTTACACATGCAAATTCTACCATACAAGACTATCACTAGTGCAATGCTTTCCAACACTAACAACAGCTTTGAGAGGGCCACTCAAAGAGTATCTCCTGAATGTCCACAAAGAGTTGCATTTGCATAAAAACTTGTTTAGTTGCACCCTAAGTTTTGCTTCCAGATGGTTTTTATTTAGTTTTAATGCCCAACTAAAATTCTTCCAGCTTGTAGTTGTGCTTTATATTGCTACATCCTCAAAATTCAATATCATCACGAACGGACTCATAGAATTCTTGAACATTCACTTGAAGTATCATAATGTATTTTCGAAAACACTTGTTTGTGAATGCACATTATGCCATGAAAATGGTGATTAAGATATTGTTTTTGCTGGATATCGAATATATAGCCTAATACATTTCATCATCTGGAAAATGGAATTTTGGTTTCGTGCTAAGGTTAGTTGCTCTCTCTCCTGCATTTTTAACAACTTAAACTTGTATATTTCTTTCTACGAATGAAGTTTTCTTTTGTATTTTCTTTCAACATTCTAATACAACCTATCACGTAAATTCTGCAAAAGGTAGTTTGGTTAGGTGAGTATTCTCCTCATCTCAAATGACATGTTTTGTCTTCCCACATCCAATTGTCCTAGATCCTCAACCAGGAGAGAGAATATTGGACATGTGTGCAGCTCCAGGGGGGAAAACCACAGCAATAGCAATCCTTATGAAGGACAAAGGAGAGGTTGTTGCTGTTGACAGATCTCATAATAAGGTGCACCTTCTGAACTTGGCAGGTGACTACAAGCATAATATTTTTCTATAATATTTGGCACATTTTTAACTTCACAGTTTTTTTTGGATTCCTTGGTGCTAACCAAAATGATTTTACATGGAAGGTCGTCACCTGGGTTAAAGGTGTCCTTAAATTTTTGGACTTGCACCATGTCAGTCAGATCCATATATTGATTTTAAGTATTTGCTTAAGAATGATGTAGCATTTTATGTTGAGTAATAGAAAGAATGGAAAGGGCCAAATTACCCCTGAGGTATCGGAATTGGTACAAACAATTCCCTCTGTCCACCTATTTGAATAAAAATGCCACTATTGTTATTTTTTGGGCTCAATATTACCTTTATTACTAAACTCCCTTTTGCTGATTTTTTTAAAATTAATATCCACGTGTCATCGTCTCATTTGGAGTGCAAGTTCAATCCGGAGCCTAAAGGTTTCAAGTTGGGCAGGACTAGAACAAAATATTTGGGGTGCAAGTTCAGTGACACGATTCAGGAGGCTGGCGTGGAAGTGAGGCTGGATTCACAAGTCATCCCCAAGAAAGGAAGTTTTAGGTAAAACGGGGAGATCGACGTCACACATCGTATTGGAGCGGGATGAATGAAATGGAGGTTAGCATTTGGTATCTTGTGTAATAAGAACGTACCACCAAGACTTAAAGATAAGTTCTACAATGTGGTGGTTAGATCGACTAAGTTGTATGAGACAGAATGTTGGCTAGTCAAGAACTCGCATGTCCATAAGATGAAAGTGGTGGAGATGAGGATGCTGAGATTGATGTGTGGGCATACTAGGAGGGATATGGATAGAAAATGAAGATATTTGGGGCTAGGTAGGTGTCGTCTCCGTGGTGGATAAGATGCGAGAAGCGAGGTTGAGATGGTTCGAGCATGTGAAGAGGAGATGTCTCGATGCCCCACGGAGGATATGTAAGAGATTGACTATGGTAGGCCTGAGGAGAGGTAGAGGTAGGGTGAAGAAGTATTGGGGAGAGGTGATTAAACAAAACATGACGCATCTTCAGCTTACCGAGGACATGACCCTTGATAAGAGAGTGTAGAAGTTGAAAATCAGAGTAGAAGGGTAGTAGGGAGTCGAGCGTCTTTCCTTTCATCCTAGTAGTGATAGTGCTATTCTCGTATTTACATATTGTTAGATTTATATTACTATCTGACGATGTTGTGTTTCGTTTTTAATATTATCTTGCTATTGTTACTGTTTCTTTGACTTTTTCACTACTGCTTATCTTTTATCTATACTATTGTGATCAATCATGCTTGCCTTGAGCTAAGAGTTTACCGAAAATAGCTTTTCTACCTGCACAAGGTAAGGGTAAGACTGTATACTCTATCATCCCTAGACCCTCACTTGTGGGACTACACTAGGTATGTTGTTGTTGTGTCATCGTCCCATTGGCCTAAGCTAAACCCACCCCTGATATAATTAAACCCACCCGTAACTCGCCCGAATATTGACCCGCTCAAATAGTTATGTTTCGTTTCTATATTTATTTCTCCCCAAACAAAGAAAATCCTTAATTTTCTAATTTCAAGCCGTTACTAGTGAATCTACAACAATTTCAAGCTTCTTCCTTTACGCTGATTTTGAGAGAATAGATTTGGGTAAAACTTTGTGGAGAAGACTCCAAAAACAATATTGTAATATTGGGTAATGAAAATTTTGTGGAGAATTCTCTATCTTGTTTCCATAACATCTTTATCCTCTCCATTTCTTTGAGTTTTCTTTGTCTATGACCTGTTCATTACAAAATCAGAAAGTTAATTCATCTGGAGCGAAACAATGTAGTTGTCTTAAAGCACATAATAATTCATCTGGAGCGAAACAATGTAGTTGTCTCAAAGCACATAATTGTCTGTTTAAAGTTTTAAGGATTATTTCCAGTATCCACCAAAAAATACCACAAAACTTCCATCTTTGTTGAGTTCCAACTCAGAGAATCTGAATATGGTGCGAAAATTGGGTCTAATGGATTTGTTCTTTAATTTGAATGTTGGATTTTGTGTTTTGCTGGAGAGAAGAATCTGAGTCTCCTGTTGACGGTATCACCGATGCCAACACTGACGATTATGGTGGTGTTTTAATGGTTGGTGTTGGGAAACTGCAATAGTGAACGTGAACTTGGGGAGAGAAGAGAAATCATTGGACAATCATAATTGTTCAGAAATTGAACTTAAAAACAAATTAATGGTGGATTTTTTGGTGGATGAGGAAATTATGGAAAGTTCTTAGCTTGAACTTCGAATTGGATTCTATATCGCCATCATCGTTAATGGCAAAATGTATTTTTTGTCAGCAGTTTAGACAAGAAGTTTACCGCAATACTTCTTTCCTTGAGCTCCCAAATCCCTTTTCCAATCAATTCTTCTTTCTCTCTTATTTCTTTTAGTTTTTCATATCAGGATTTTAAGATCGGGGCGGGTCGATATTCAGGCAGATGTATGGGTGGGTTTAATTATATTTGGGGTGGGGTTTAGGTTAGGCCAATGGGACGATGATACGTGGATATTAATTAATTTTTTTTCCCGAAAGGGGCGTTAGTAATATGGGTAAGACTGAGCCAAAAAAATAATGGTGGGGGCATTTTTATTCAAATAGGTGGATTGGGTTTGATTCCTGCTGCCTGAAGTCCTCCTTGATGATGGGTTCTTTAGTCCAAGAAAATCCATAAGGAGGTTTAGAGTATGCTTACCCAGTTGTTGGCTAAGGCTTGCTCAAGGAACGCTAAGCCCTAAGATATGATGTGAAGTAGACTAAGTGTTGCACTTCACTTAGGGAGTGCTTTGGTGCAGAACAAAGCGTTACAGTGTGTACCTTATTGCCCATGTGTTTTGTCGTAAAGAGAGCAATACCAAACAATACTTGGTAAAGTGAAATATTAATTGTTAGGAAACATTATGAACAAATTTATTAGTGTTTGTAGGAAAAGTAAATCAGAAATTTACTATTAAGAAAACTAGTTATGTAATTTGAATTAGAAACCTAATGTTGCACATTTGCCTTTGAATCTATTTGAAACATTGATTTGTATAGTTATTATTAGATATGTACATAATGTAGTCTTGTCCCACATTGGAATATGAGTAGTATGTCCCTGTATAGTATAGCTATAAATAAGGACCTCTTGTATTGTATTGAACACACAATATCAATATATCATATTTTCTCCCGTGCCTTCTCACATGGTATCAGAGCCAGGCCCATCCCAATTTATTGTTACCGATGTTGGGCCCCCATTTATATTGTCCACGCTCCAATTGCAGGCCTGGGCGTGAGGGG